AGGGGGGACAAAATGGACCCCTGCGGAACTCCATGGCATAACTGCCATGGCACAGAGCCATAGTCCCCCAGCACCACCTTCTGGAATTGGCCATTGAGATAGGAGCGGAACCACCGCAAAGCAGTGCCTCCAACTCCCAATCCCACTAGCCTATCCAGAAGGATACCATGGTCAATGATATTGAAAGCCGCTGAGAGGTCCAGGAGAACCAACAGGGATGCACTCCCCCTGTCTCTCTCCCTGCACAGGTCATCATAAAGGGTGACCAAGGCAGATTCAGTACCATACCCGGGTCTGAAGCTGGACTGAAATGGGTCCAGATAATCAGTTTCATCCAAGAGTGCCTGGATTTGTCCCGCTACCACCCGCTCCAGCACCTTGCCCAGAAATGGAATGTTGGCCACCGATCTATAATTGGCAACCACCCCTGGATCCTGGGATGCCTTCTTTAGTTCTGGCCGGACTACCACCTCCTTTAAAGGGGCAGGTACCTGGCCGTCTCTGAAAGAGGCATTCACCACCTCCAGGATCCAGGTCACAATCCTGTCCTTGGCATTCTTGAGTAGCCAAGATGGGCAAGGGTCTAGTAGAAACATAGAAACACAGAAACAGAGCGAGTCAGATGGGGTCTCCCAGGCCATCTAGTCTGATCTCCAGCACCAGCCGGCTCCACTCACAACATGCCCACCATGTGCATGTCCAGCCTATCCTTGAACACCCGCACTGATGGGGCCTCAACAACCTCTCGTGGAAGCCCATTCCACACCCTTGGGGTCCTGACTGTCAGGAAGTGCTTCCTGGCATCCAAATTGAACCTTGGCTCCCTGAGCTTTGCTCCTTTAGAGCACATCCTGCCTTCCTCTGCAAGGGAGAACAGGTCTCTGCCCATCTCCATGTGACATCCCCTCACATACCTGTATGTAGTAAGCAGGTGGTAGGACGTACTTGTCCAAGCACCTTGTCCACATCATCAGGCCGCAGCAACTGAAATTCATCCAACAATTGAGGACTCGATGGCGACATTGGCACCTCCCCAATATAATCTGATTCAATAATAGAGTCCAGCTTGTGATGAATCTGGGCGATTTTCTCCCTAAAATGCTTGGCGAAGTCGTCATAGCGGGCCTTCAAGGGTGGCACCAGATCTCTCTTTGGGCCCGGATGTACCAGCCCCTGCACCACCCGAAAGAGCTCCGCCAGACGGCATTGTGAGGAGGCAATGGAAGCGGAGAATAATTTCTTCTTTGCCACCCTCACCGCCACAGCATAGGCCCGATAGTGGGCTCTTAAGTGTGTTCGGGCAGATTCATCCTGTGATCTCCTCCACCTACGCTCTAGACGTCTCCCAACCCGCTTCATCGCCCGTAATTCAGGAGTGTACCAAGGAGATGAAAGGGCTCTGCCAGGTGGGGGAGGACGCTTGGGAGCGATCGTGTCAATAGCCCTGGTCATCTCCCCATTCC